TTTATACATTCCTCCCTCTTCTGATATTAGACAGTCGGATCTTAAAAACCTATATGACCAGCTTCCGAAGCCATGCCTCATCATGGGCGATATGAACGGTCACAACCCACTTTGGGGAAGTGACCATACTAATACAAAAGGTAAAATCCTTGAGGAATTCGTTTCTGAAAATAATCTATGTATTTTTAATGACTCAGCCACTTATTTACATCCAGCTACGGGAACATATTCTTCCCTGGATCTATCACTCGCCGATTCCAACGTATATAATGAATTTGAATGGGGGGGTACATCATGACCTATGTGGGGGTGATCACTTCCCCACCATTTCTCAAAGCGGTCAACCCTGGTGATGATCCGCCTTTATGACGACGGAATTTTGCCAGGGCTAACTGGTCATTATATCAGACACTATGTACTGATCACTTAAAACATGACATTTTTGCGAACAGCGAAGATCCTATACAGTTATTTTCAGATATACTGAACAACATTGCTGACCAAACTGTACCAAAGTCCTCTGCAATTCCACACATTCGTAAGCCATGGTTCAATAATGAATGTAAACAGGCCAGAGAGTGTAGGAAGAAAGCTGAAAAGTATTGTCGCCGACATCCTACTGTCCATAATCTAGACAAAGTTAAAATTTTAAATGCTAAGGCTAGACGTGCTTTTAAACAAAATAAGCGTCAGTCTTGGCGAAATTATGTTTCTAAAATAAATTCACGCACACCTATGTCAAAGGTGTGGAACATGATTCAAAGAATAAAGGGCAAAGGTTCTAAATCTACTGTTCACCATCTGAAGGATGGTGATAATTTATTAACTAATAAAACTGACATTGCCAATAAACTTGGTGAAACTCTCGCCAAGCACTCATCTTCATCCAATTATGTCCCTGAGTTTCAAAAGTTTCAGAAACAACAAGAGAAGAAACGGTTAAATTTTAACTCAGACAGTGGTGAAGATTATAATGAATTACTTTCACTACATGAGCTACATACCGCCCTTGGGCAAGCTCATGATACAGCAACAGGGGCTGACGATATCCACTATCAGCTCCTGAAGCATTTGCCCGAACCATGTTTGGAAACATTGCTAAATATTTTTGATTCAATATGGACTTCAGGGAATTTCCCAACTTCATGGCGTAATGCCATTGTCGTCCCTATTCCAAAACCCGGCCGGGATCATACTGATCCATCGAATTACAGACCAATCTCTTTAACGAGTTGTGTCTGTAAAACCATGGAACGAATGGTAAATAATAGACTAACATGGTATCTTGAAACCAATAACCTTATAACCAATATTCAATGTGGTTTCAGGAAAAACCGTAGTACCATTGATCATCTGGTACGACTAGAATCCTTTGTTAAAAATGCAATAGTAATTAAACAACATGCCGTATCGATATTTTTGATCTCGAGAAAGCGTACGATACCACCTGGAAGCATGGCATTTTAAAGGATTTACATGATTTTGGTTTGAGGGGTCGTTTACCTCTTTTTATATCACACTTTTAACCGACAGGCAATTTCAAGTCCGAATGGGTTCATCCCTGTCTGACAATTATAATCAGGATCAGGGTGTGCCACAAGGCAGTATTTTGTCTGTCACATTGTTTAGTATAAAGATAAATAGTTTATCAAAAGTTTTTAATGATTCAATTGATGGATCATTATTTGTGGATGATTTTAATATCTCTTGTCGCGGTAAAAATATGCATACTATTGAACGACAACTGCAGTTCTGTTTAAATAAAATAAATAAATGGTGTCTTGAGAATGGCTTTAAATTTTCTAACTCCAAAACTAATTGTATACACTTTTGTAGGAAATATAAGCCTCATAAGGACCCAGAACTATTTTTAAATGGTATTCTCATTAAAGTTGTAAAAGAGGCCAAGTTCTTGGGTCTAATTTTCGACTCCCATTTGACTTTCCTTCCACATATCAAATCCCTAAAAACTAAAAGCCTGAAGGCACTCGATTTATTGAAAGTCGTTTCTAATTCAAAGTGGGGAGGGGACCAAACTACCCTCCTATTCCTATATAGATCACTGGTCCGCTCGAAGCTTGATTATGGCTCCATCGTATATGGTGGAGCCTGTAAAAGCAACCTAAAACTATTAGATTCTGTCCACCACCAAGGTCTGAGACTTTGTCTTGGGTCATTCAGAACATCTCCTATTGATAGTCTCTACGTCGAGGCAGATGAACCATCTCTTACCCAACGCCGTATAAAATTATCATTACAATATATTACCAAACTATATTCTAACGAGTCTAATCCTGCATTTCACAGCATCTTTAATCCTCTTTATGAGCATTTGTACAACAAGAAATCTTCTTTTGTTCCGCCTCTTCGGCTCAGGATTAAGCCATTCATTACTGCTGGCGGCATTGAGCTGGAAAATATAGCTCCTTCCCGACTTCTTTCTTCTCCTCCTTGGCAATTGGTTAGACCACAAGTTGACCTTACACTAACATCGTTTAAAAAATCAGAAACTAATGACTTGCAATATAAACAAGAATATAATCAATTAAAAAGTAAATATAATACATATAAATCCTTATTTACAGATGGGTCCAAGGATGGTGGCGCGGTTGCTTGTGCCACTGTCATTGGGTCCAAAACAATATCTTCCAGATTACCCAATGACAGTTCAATTTTCACAGCAGAAGCAAATGCAATACTAACAGCTCTTAAATATATTAATACCGTAAATATAAACAATATATCATCTTTTCATATTCTCTTTCGTGTCTTCAGGCTATTAAAAATCTTTCTTGCAAACATCCACTTTTATTAGAAATTATTGAATTGTACAATGAACTTGCTACTGGCCAATGCGACATCGTCTTTTGTTGGTTACCCAGCCACGTTGGCATCTCTGGGAACACAATGGCTGATCTTGCTGCTAAGGCAGCACTCAACAAATCTGTGACACCACTTCTGATTCCATACTCTGATTACAAAGCTAGCATTAGCACTTACATCCGTGATCTGATGCAGAAGAAGTGGGACACCCAAGTAGGTATTAATAAATTACATGCAATAAAACCCTACATTGGTTACACCTACATGGGTTGTCAGTCCAGATTTGAGGAGGTCATTATAAGACGATGTCGTATTGGCCACACAAGATATACTCATGAGTACCTATTAAAAGGTGAGGATCCTCCGTTTTGTATCCCTTGTGATGAAAGAATCACGGTCAAGCATGTCCTGCTTGACTGTGTTGAATATTCTATCACAAGGGATATCTATTTCAAATTCCAAACGATGAAGGATCTTTTTAGTACTATAAGTTCTCATTTAATTATTGCATTTTAAAAAAAATTAGATTTGTTAACAGATTTGTAAATAGATACATATTTTATTATTGGTAGTTTAGATTAGTAACTGAGATTGTTAGTGGCTGTACCCTCAAAGGGGGTTGAAGTAGCGTAAAATTATTGTCCTCCTGAGAGGGTACGTAAGTCCCAAAACTTTCAAAGTTAACTTTTTGCTTACCCGATTTTTAAACGTAGTATATTTGTTCATTTAAATTTTGGCTAAACTTGTCCTACAATCGCCAGCTGCTGAAGGGATGGTGTAAATCCAACTAGGGTCCATGCAGGTAGCAAAAGTAATGTAAGTCCCCATGGTTCCTAGTATGGTGATCTACCTTCAGTTGTTGGCGATCTATAGCCTGTTTTTATATTGTATTGTCTTCGTAAATAAAATAGTTTTACATGTTCATGCTAGTTTTAGACTCCATCTGTGATACTCTAGTTATTTTACAGTCCTGCGATGACTGATTATTTAGCAACTTTAATTAATTGTTTATTTAAAACATTTATCGTTACTATATGGCTGAAATATTGCCGAGGTGACGTCAAATTCTAACTCACTCACTCACTCACTCAAATAATACAGCCACAACTTAAATCTGATTATAGCTAATGAAAATGCGAGATAAACCATTGATGAAGCAAAAGCTGCGGCGATTTTTCCCAATTGTAAGATATTATAATATCCTCTTACCTATTTCTTATATATTTTCATGTTAACCTAATCGGACAAAATACTATTAAATATTCTAAATACGTTGTTTGGTTTGCTTAATTCCCAATAACAGTGGCTTTCCGCTTGGTAAGATGAGACGACACTTGCAAATACCTCTCTTTTACCGAAGTTTCTATGAATAATACCCGAGAAGATTCATTTGATGTTGGGCATTGTTTGAAAGCTCTGAACATCAATAACATTACCGTTACCTTGCCTGGAGTATTTTAGCACTTGTAACAAATGACGTAAAGATTAGTTCTTTCTCCATCTGCTATAAGGATAGTGACTGGTCAAGAACTTGATCTAAGGCAACCAATCACATTACAGCAATAGATACCGACAACTTTTAGATTGAAAGCTTTGAGTTAAATCGTCTTATCATCAACTTTATAATCAAATTACTACCTGTACTTAAAAATGTAACATAGCTGATGTATTGTGCTGGGTTGCGACCTGTGACCAACACGAAAGATCGCACGGAAAGATGAAAATAGTATCTTAGATGTAAGTTTGGCAACTTTTATAATTTTAACATAAATAAACATTTTTCAAAACATACTTATTTTGCTCTTTGGCAATTCCGATGTGAACCCGCTGCCGAAGCATGTGGACAAAATTTCATATTTTTCAGCAACAATGCGAAAATTGTTAATAACTTTATATCTTTATAACAAATTTGGTGCACTAAAATGTAATATGTGTTGTTTGACATGGAGAAAAGTGGTAGGTTTATTAAATGAGTTTATTAAATGACAGGTAGGTTCCTAAAGATACATATCATTTAGATATGAATTTGGTCCGACCTGACGTGTCTGGGGACTTTTGATGTCTTGGCGGGTTTAATGGGTTAATATACTTGACATATGCGTGTTTTATTAGGAAAATGATCCCGTTACAGTGTAACCCACAAGAGGTTTAGCATCGTAACTTAGTACCTTTAAAACCATCACCTACATTTCAAATCATCAGCTGGCACCATACGCACCAGCTTCAGAACACAACACTGCTAATCGGAGAACGTTCACACATTCAAACAATTCCTCACCCACTTCAGAGATATATTGATAAAAACCTTCCCAATTAAAGTTGCACCGGTGACATTACGGTGGTTAATGGTATTATTGCTCGTCTAGATGGTCTGTAACTCACCAGTCTGTGGGTATTGTATTCAGAGACACCAGTGGCGAATTACGCAGCTCAAACACGCTCCATGTTCAGACTAATTCCTGTGAGAGCGCCATGTTTCCTGTTGGATTCCCATAACGTGATGTTTTGCTCTTAACTTTTTTCGCGGAACAGAATCATTCATGCCAAATTCTCTGAAATCCAATAATTGAGTTTTAACGCTTCCCTGGTGAAAGGAAAACCCTCCCCACTGACTTTCCTTTGGCCAAAATAGCGATGTTGATATTAAGTTTGTCGCGATCGATTTGGATCAATAGCATTCATTGTTGTGAAATAGACTGACGGCAATTCCGACTGAAATCAGCTCTAAAAAGTAAGAGAAGAGCAAACAGAAGAACAGTTGTGTGCATATTTTAAACAATGATCACTAACTACAATAAACAACGTTTATCGATGTGAGAAATACAAAAACGTCGTTCCTGTAATGAGAATAAGACGAATGTAGAGCTGGGGATTGGGGTATGAAGAACAGTCGCCATAGGTACGTGATTCTGTTCAAAACGGCGCAGCAATGATGTGGCCAATACCACATCAGCGTGACCTCCTATCTATTAGGATAAATGATGATGTAATGGCATGTAGCGGACCAATTCACAAATATTTCGTAGGGGATAGAGCGGAAGTACCTCCAATATCTAAATGCTGTCTTGCTACAGTCTTGCTAAGTGGCATAAGATCCAGATATGTTTTAATATTTCTGCTTTGAGCAAAGAGATAAGTGCAACACCAATTGATTTTCATCATCATCTTCATCACTATCATCATTATTGAGTTTACGCTGACTGTATACTATGTACAGGATACTCGTTTTCAATGCAAACGTTCTTTAACTTATTTTACAGCGTGCTCAATCGATACTGGATCTATATCCACAACAGAAGAGAAAATGTGTTCTGACAATGTGTATGTAGATCGTGATTAATGTGCATCTATATGTAAGGTAGCCGGAGCCAAAGAATCTACGGAGCCGGACAATCTACAATCCTTTCTTAAACATTGCAGAGCCTCTTACTCACACCACATTAATGGCAGTGAGAAAAACACTGAGCTATGGAACAATCACATTTGTGGCGGTGGGCAGTTAAGTTATAGAACTGCTCCGTCTTGCTGAGTGAAATCGATTCAAACCCTTAAATACACAACACACGTAAGCCAAGACAATTTCTCAGACGCCCTAAGGTGAAAACTCGAACCCTCTTTTTAGACTGATGAAGACAGAGAAATGTTGATGCTTATAGACAGAGGTTAGAACGAAAGTCAATGAATTCTGATTCTTGGTTTCTCGCCTCAATGTTGGAGAGTGTAGTCACAGAGGTACTTGGAGGAACCTGAGTAAAGACGGCGGGGAAAAGCGGTTGAGCTGAATGTAACACAACGCTTCGAAGGGCTGATCACAATTAATTACTTGCTGGGAAACCCACTTCCCTCTTTTAATGCTTTGTTTTTTGTTTTTGTTTTCCAGGCACTGCTTATCGGAACTCGTATACACCACTTTCCGGTCAATTTGAGTGAGTGAGTAAGTTAAGTTTTACGCCGCACTCAACAATATTCCAGCTATATGGCGGCGGTCTGTAAATAATCGCGTCTGGACCAGACAATCCAGTGATCAACAGCATGAGCATCGATCTGCGCAATAGGGAACCGATGACATGTGTCAACCAAGTCAGCGAGCCTGACCACCCGATCCCGTTAATCGCCTTTTATGACAAGAATGGGTTGCTGAAGACCTATTCTTCCCCGGATCTTCACAGGTCTCCGGTCAATTTGAAGTGGATTAGGTTTTAAAAGACTTAACTTTTTTTTAAAAGGCACAGGAGTACGCAGCAAGATGTTTAACCCCTACTGCCAATATCGCACCGGATCCTATGAGGTTATCTCAGGAACTGATTATATTTTGATTTTTTTTTTTCTAGGGTAGTGACTGTACTCTGTGTGGTAAGCTAGGGTAGTGGTTGTAGATTGTGGTAATATTGTGTTGATTATTATCCTTTACATTATCAGTGACTATGTGTCCCAGTCCACCCAGCTGTGAATGGGTACCTCGTAAGGATGGAAAAGCCACATAAACTCGGTGCGCCTAGTAGGCAGCAAGAGTTGTATGATCCCCAGGGAGTTGAGATTGAAAAAATACGATGTGCCGTTGTGATGGATATCCAATGATCGAGGGAAAACAAAGCGCCTTTGAGCAGTTGTACTGGATATCGGCGCTATACAAATGTTTGTATGCATGTATGTATTTTGCAACAAGTGATATTACATTAAAAAAGTCATATTCAACTCAATTTTGCAACAAGTGATATTACTGTAACAAAGTCATATTCAACTCTATCAAACGCAACTACAACAAGTCATATTTAGATAACGTATTCGGAAAGTAAGAAAAATGAACAGCAAAATAGTTGAAGCGGTCATATCTCTCTCACTTTCAAGGTTTTTGTTACTTTAAAATTGTAAAGTCGTGATCCAAATGCTTAAATATTCGAGATAATCTTTTATACTTGATTCAAGTAAACAATTCCATGCCTCTCTGCCACAGAAGCTTTTAGCTATACTTTTTAATCTCAAGAGAGTGGTTGTTGTTTACAAACTGGTTTACGAATTAGAATAATTAGAATAAGTATTTTGAAACCCTGGAGATTACAACTTTTACTGGCTCTTGTTGCCCATTGTTGATATCTAAAGACTGAAATAAATTACTTGTGAGAAATTGGTTTGGCGAAAACCCCTCGTTACAAACACAACCATGAATAATATGTGTGAACAACCTAGTTTTGAGTACATTGTTTCGCGAACATCTGGTGTCATCAGCGTTTTCAGTGATCAGTTCATTTAACTTTCGTCACTATTTTGCCTGTTCTGACCAATGGTTCTGAAACCAATGGACTGGCCCTGTCGTCATGAAAGAAAACCGAGAGTGGTTACTGGCCTGGCCCTGCCGCTTGATGTTAAACAGCACAGAAGTCCAATCATGTGAATATGTTTAAAATGGTTATAACGTCAACGATAACTCATAGACACTCACCCTTCACCTTCCAAGCCTTAAAGTAGATCCAAAGACATCAATCACTCACAACCATGATTAGTTTGTGTGAATAACCTAGTTTTGAGTACATGTTTTATCGCGAACTTCTCACATAGTCGCCGCTTTTCAGTGATCAGTTCATTCAACTTTCGTTACTGTTTTGCCGGTTACGACCAGTGTCATGACCAGTAGATCTGTTTCCGAAGAAAACCCAGACTGGTTACACTTTCTGGCCTTGACGTTTAATATTAAAGCAGCACTGTAGTCCCATCATGTGAAAGGGATTAACATGTATAATGTCAACATAGTTTCATTACACATTGACCCAACATTCAGCCTTCACCTTCCAAGCCTAAAAGTAAATCATCAACCACTCTTGCAATAATGCTTATGTTTCGACAGATAGTTGAGAGTGATTATGCCCTTGAAGTTTTATATTAGATTTAGTGTTAGCAGATGAACAGACAAGGCTAAGGTCTGCTGAAACATTTCAACAAGCAATTTCGCCAATAATTGAAAACTGAAGCACTTCGGGAAAAGGACTTTCAGCATAACATTGACATCATTTAATTGAATTGATGCTTCACATTTGACAATCGTTTCTCAAGTAGTCGTCATTATTTGGGTGCACCACTTGATCAGATGATGGACAATGCAAAACCTAACATATTAGAATGCAGTGCCCGTCGCTGTAATAGTTGAAATCATCCATCATCCAGTCACCATCCACAAATTTATTATTCTATGTTGGCAATGTCGACCGAAAGATAAGGTAAAGGCGCTCCGTCGCTTCCTTTGAGAACCACAAATCCATTATCTTCGTCTCTTGGGTTGTGCGTTTACCATCAAGAGAAGAAATTGTGCTCAATAAGAAATGAAAATAATGTGTTGCTGTTTCGGAGCCGACATGAGACGAAACCTGTGAACTCAAGTATAGAGGCTCCTTTTCAACCGAAGATTGGAAATATTTTGTGATTTGCTGGAGCTTTTTGCAACGAAGAATTAACATTTGATGAAATACAACTTTTACGAATTTCAACAGATCGTGAATATAAAGTAACTCTACGATTATTGCCAGAGCATCTTTAATTTAAACCGAAAACAAAAGTTTACAATGTTTGACCTTGGTGAATCACATTTGTTAATGACCTTGATGTTTAATCAGGTGTGCTTCTCCACGCATTGCCGACTGACACCCTAATTACAATAAATGGGTACATCAGTGGATCCCAGGAGATCAAGTATAGAGGCTCCTTTTCAACCGAAGAATCTTGTACATGTATCAAGATTGGAAGCATTTTGTGATTTGCTGGAGCTTTTTGCAACGAAGCATCAACATTTCATGTAATACAACTTTTACGAATTTCAGGAGACAACACATAGTGAATATAATGTAACTTTACGAGTATAGCTTATTTTTAAAAACATTTTAATTTCAACTGAAAGCCAAATAATTCCCGAATTGAAAAAGCCGATCGTTATGGATTACTTGACAAATGCATCAAAGTTTACAATGTTTTCCCTCGATGAATGACATCTGTTAATGACCTTGATGTTTAATCAGCTGTGCTTTATCTGTGCACTGCCTCGTAAGAGGCGACTAACGGGATCGGCTGGTCAGGCTCGCTGACTGGGTTGACACATGTCATCGGTTCCCAATTGCGCAGATCGATGCTCATGCTGTTGATCACTGGATTGTCTGATCCAGACTCGATTATTTACAGACCGCCGCCATATAACTGGAATATATAACTCACTTACTCAATGTGCACTGCCCATTGAAACCCTAATTACAATAAATGGATCTGATGGTACTGAACAAGTTTCTGCGCAATGGACCATGATTGGACCTCACAACCGAGGTCCATTAACAAATTTTTGTGTGTTAAACGCCAAATTCAGCCACATTATTGCTATCTCACGGGGGTCTGTAAATAATCAAGTCTGGACCAAACAAACCAGTGATTTACTTCATGCCCCTTGATCTACGCCACTAGGATGCATCGACCAAGCCAGCAAGGCTGACCATCCGGCGCCGTTATTCTCCTATTAGGACAATGTAGCTCTTCATGGATCCTACAACTGGAACACACATGCGAGTTTTCAGCTTCGTGAGCGAACATACTGCAAGCTGAAAGCATTGTGTAATATTAATATTAATATTTCCGAAAACATTATCTTCAAACATAAAGCTTGGTCGTTATCATTTCAGTATATCACCCAAATGACGATAATGTTAACAGCGAGAGAAAAGGCAGTCAGCATAAAACACTTTCTAACAACATTGTATTCTCAGTTCTCACGCGTCAGTTTCTATGCCTATCGCGTCCTTGAGGTTAAGAGTACAGTTTCAAATAGTATATTATTTTCTCACAGGCTTTATTGGGATTAACCTTCACTTTGAACAGTCATTATTTTTTCCTGAATGTTTTCCTGCTTTACAAACCAGTGTTAGCAACGTACACGTTGAGTTTCTTATCAAAACAACAACAGCCATCTTCGATTATCCAGAGTATTACATCCCCATTCTTTAATGATCAATACCCTGGATCAGTTCGTCGCCATCGCCACTCTCTTTTATCATAAGTCCCTGGTATGGTGATCTACCTTCAGTTGTTTGCGATCTATAGTCCATTTTTATACTGTATTGTTTTTCCCCTATAGTTAAAACGTTTTAGATTTAATTACTAGTTTTACAAACATATCTGTGATATTCTAGTTGTTTTACTGTCCTTCTTCGGCAGGTTTTTTATAATATACATATATTTCATTTCAATACCAAATGTTCTCGTCACGATATGGCTGAAATATTGCCGATGTGACGTTAAATATTAACTCACTCGCTCACTTTTATACTGTATTGTCCAAATATAAAATCCAATTTTAGAAAGAAATGCTAGTTTTATTTCTTGATACTGTGATATTCTAGTCGGTTTTACTGTCCTTCGATGACAGGTTTTTATAATTTACACAATTTATTTATGGTGAACTCTAAACTTGTTTTAGTCACGATATGGCTGAAATATTGCCGATGTGACTTTAAATTTCAACTCACTCACTCACTCACTCACTCTTTTATCATAAACCTTTTTTGTTCAACACCTTAAAGTCAACAACCAATCACAAGTCATCTTGTGAACGCAAGTTCGGCATGGATAAACATTCAAAATCGCGGTCACATCGATTTTGGCTGCGGTTGGACTATCTGGTGTTCCGTTTCACGTTAATGTCAGTGTTTCTTTGCGTTATAACAGCTACGGATCCTGGCGAACGTCTGGCAATATGCAATGTTGGAACTACAACAAATCCAAATCTCTTTCTTTATCACCTAAACACAAAAACCGCATGCCTTATTTCACAGAAAGTGTACTTTGTATTAGAGGTGCCTAGCCTTTTCGAAGGAGCCGCCATCTTGTTTACCCAAACCAGGATATAATTTTTCAACAGCGCCAACAACAGTTCAAAACAAGAACTGGAGTCATAAAGTCATCCTTTCTTAAACTGACGCATCTGAACTGAACATCGAGAAAGTAGAAGCGACAGAATCATGTCAGCTGTGTCAATTCATGTCCCTAATGGCAGTGTGGCGTTCATTTTGCAATGGCGGCATTGCACAGTGTTAATGGTAAATGACAGTCAGCATCATTCTTCCTCTAATACCCCACTTCTGTATCCTCCCGTAAAGCATCCTTGAAATCAAATTTGAGTGGCGACCGAATGTTCTCTTTGACAAGACGAGGCAATATGGGATTAATGATATTTTTAAATATCGAAAATTGAAGTATTATCAAAGTATGACTGCGATGTCAATCTATAAACTTTGTTCTTCACCAGACAGCCCTGAAACACACGGATATCTACAATATAAGCAGCAAATGGTTCTGTAAAACAGTGTCTACAGTGTAAGCACCTAACAGTCCTGCATATAGTCTACAGACACACAGAAGAAGACGAAAAATAGGGAAAATAGCTAGGCGGTAAAAAATGAAGCTTGAGACAAATATAATTTCCGTCTTCGATTACAGTGAGGTGTTTTTTAGTTACTGGAAATTCCGTCAAGTATTTCAAAGAGCCGGGTGATACATTTTCAACCGGGCAAGTAAGCGCATGTAAGAAACTTACACTTTTTATTGAGACAGTTATTTACTGTCAAAGAATGGGAACAAATGGAATAATATAAATGGAATGTTGGTTGGTTGGTTGGTTTGTTGTTTAACCCCAGCTTACATTCCAGCTATATGGCGGCGGTCTGAAAATATTCCAGTCTGGACCAGACAATCCCGTGATAAACAGCATGAGCATCGATCTACATAGTTTGGATACGTTGACAAGGTGTCAACAAAGTCAGCGAGTCTGGTCACCCCATCCCGTTAGTCACCTCTTACGACAAGCATGGGTTGCTGAAGACCAATTCTAACCCAGATCTTCACGGGTGGAATATTATAGACTGCCAGAAAAAATCACTCAATGAATACTGTTTACTAACATATAAGTAAAATAGGCTGCAATATGTTCTAGCTTTGGGGAAAAACTATTTTCAGAGTTTCTGATGCATTTAAACGCAAGATGGAAACCTTGAAATACCGGTATCGTTCTTATGTCGAAGTGGTTATTGATTCGATGAACAGTTTCTGAAATATCGTTCAATGTCACATATGTTCTCGTCACGATATGGCTGAAATATTGCCGATGTGACGTTAAATAACTCACTTACTCACTCACTCACTCACTCTGAAATATCGGGATTCGGACTAAATGTAATAACTATACTTAGACCTTTCAATGACTAACTTTAAATCTGTCAGAAGTCGGAGGTTTTATTCAGGATTCCTGTTAACGACGAGGAAATTCATAAATTGAAGAACCTTTCTGACTAATGAGCAAGTGACGTGGTTTGATTATGGCTTGATTTCGCCCCGTAGGTCTTCCGAGTTAGAACTGGTTCTCTGCAGCCAACACCGTATGCCTTTGTATACAATGCGACTCCGTGCATCGGCGGATCCAGTTCGGCTATTCAGCGTGTACTAACTCACTCACTCAGACACCTTAAATGTTAACTGCAACCACTTCCCACCCATCGTCGTCACCTCCTCAAAACCCTTGCCCCACCTCCACAGTGGATCGAAAGTTCTGGCTTGGTGACATTTATATCAAAGTGTCATGGTAACCGGATGATGAAGGTTGAGGCTGTTAATATAAAGCTTTTTCCTGCTAAGACACCGAGTTCCCAGAAACTAAGATGACGACTGCATTTATCTGCTTGTAACGCATCATTGTTGCCACATGTCATGTGTCATTAGAAAGTCCTAATTCTACTGTCGAGAAAAATGAAAGTTATGTTTACGATATTATTCAAATAATACAACCACAACTTTAAAAAAGTATATCAAATGAAAATGCAAGCTCACAGAATTTTAGTTTCCAGATAAAACAAAGATAAAGTGAAGCCCATGGTGTGTGTTTTTTCAACTGTAATATATCATATCATCTTACCTATTTCTTATATATTTTCATGTTTACGTAATCGGAAAAAGTTCTATAAAAATATTTTGATTAACATGTTTGTTGCCTAATTCCCAATAACAGTGGCTTTCCGCTCGGTAAGATGATACAACACTTGCAAATACCTCTTTCGAACTCTCTGTGAATAACACACGGGAAGATTTATATCGTTTGAACTCTGAACATCAAAAACATTAATCTTGCCTGGAGTATTTTAGCACTTGTAACAAATGACTTTATTTATAAAGATTAGTTCTTTCTCTATTTGCTTTAAGGATAGTGACTGGTCAAAATCTAGAACTTGACCTCAGGCAGTCAATCACATTACAACAATTGATTTAGATTTCAGATTTAGATGAACTTTGAAACTGAAATCGTGTTATTATGAACTTCATATGCATTACATTACTTCCTGTACTTGCAAATTGAACACCGTTGATGCATTGTGTTGGGTTGCGAGCTTCGACTGACACGAAAAGATGGAAAAAGTAACTTCGATATAAGTTCGGCAACTTTTATAGGTATTTCGTTTTAGTTATTACTTTTTTAATTCATATAAAAACAATATGTTAAATGGGTCAATTTAGTGGAAATGTATATGTAAAATTATCCCGTTACAGTGTAACCGACGAGAGGTTTTGGATCGTGACTTAGAACCCAAACCTAAAACCATCAGCTGGCACCACACCCACGTGCTTCAAAACACAACACTTTTAATTGGACAGCCTTCAAACATACCAATAATTCCTCACCAGCTTCAGACATAAAATAAAACCTTCACGATTAAAGATGCGACGGTGACATTGCGGTGGCTAATGGTACTATCTCTAGATGCTTTTCTAGATGGCCCGGACGTCAACAGTATCTGGGCATTGTCAACGAGTGGCGGATTACGCAACTGAAAAAACGCTCCATGTTCAGACTAATTCCTGTGAGAGCGACGTGTTTCCCATGATTCTTACAACTGATATTTTGCTCATTACTCTTTTTGCGGAACAGAACCATTCATGCCAAATTCTCTGAAATCCAATTATTGAGTTTTAACGCTTCCCTGGTGAAAGGAAAACCCTCCCCACTGACTTTCCTTTGGTCAAAATAGCGATGTTGATATTAAATTTGTCGCGATCGATTTGGATCAATAGCATTCATTGTTGTGAAATAGACTGACGGCAATTCCGACTGAAATCTGCTCTTTCGTTGACAGAAGAAAAGTCTAAAAGTAAGCGAAGAGCAAACAGAAGAACAATTGTGTGCATGTTTTAAACAATGATTATTACCTGCAACCACGAGAATGTAAACAACGTTTATCGATGTGAGAAATACAAAAGTCCATTCCTGTAACGAGAATAAGAAGAATGTAGAGCTGGGGATTGGGGTATGACGAACGTGATTTCTTGGGATAACAGTCGACATGTGTACGTAATTCTGTTCAAAACAGCGCAGCATTTGATGCGGCTGATACCACTTCAGCATGACCTATATATTACCATAAATACCGATGTAATTGCATGCAGCGGGCCCATTCACAAATATTTCGGGAGATAGGAAGGTAGGAACTGTAAAATCTAAACATTGATCAGCCTTATTGTTAATTATTCCACAGGTGCCTTTGAATCCACGTGTCTGATATCAACCTTACTGAATTTTATATACATGGACGCCAGGAAACACCTTCGGAAACGTTCTTAAAACAAATTTATCGTGTGTTCAATCGATACTGGATCTATACACACAACAAAAGAGGAGTGTGTTCTGAAAATGTGTACATACACCATGATTAATGTTCATCTATATGGCCCGTTACAATCTACAATCCTTTCTTAAATATTGCAGAGCCTCTTACTCTCACGACCTTA